ACGTTGTTCTGGGGGAGAAATGAGGGGATTTGGGGGGCAATAGGAGCTCCTGCAGGAGAAACAGGGGGTGCGGGGGGGCATTGGGGAGGTTGAGGGGTGATGGGGAGGCACTGGAAGGGGAACTGGGGGGGCACTGGGAGGGGCTGGGAGCCTTCTATAGGGTTTGTGGAAGAGAAATAGGGGTGGGGGGCGGGGGTCAGGGAGGTTTCGGCTGCCCTGAACCCCCCCCCACGCCCCCCCAGGTGTTCCAGCGCCGCCAGGACGGGGGCACCGATTTTTGGCGGGGGTGGGACTCGTACGCCCGCGGCTTCGGCAACGTCAGCGGCGAATTCTGGCTCGGTAAGGGGGGACCCTGGGGGTCGGAGGGACCCCGGGACTGGCGGAGAGCCATAAAAATCTGAGGGGACGTGGGGCCAACCGAGGCACTCCGGGGGTTTGGGGGACAGGGGGAACTTTTGAGGAGAGCCAGCTCCTGGGGCTGCAGCAGGGGGGAGCCCCAGAACCTGGGGGCTCCCCAGGGGTCCGAGAGGGGACTCGTAGGATCCAGGGGAGGTCCAGGCCATTGGGAAGCAGGTTTTGGGGTGCAGGGAGCAAGGCACTGACTAAGGAGTCCGGGGGGTTTGCCCAAGGGTCTGGAGGAACTTGGAGGGTCCCCAAATATTCAGGTCTGGTTTTGGGGTCCCAGGGGTCCGGGAAGGACTTGGAGGGTCTCCAGGAGTTCCGCGGGGGAGTTCAGGACGGGCTCGAGGGCTCCAGGGGGCACTTGAGGGGTCTCCAGGAGTTTGGGGGGGGGTCTCCATGCAGGGATTGGGGGAGGGGACAGGGGAACTCGGGGGGCCCGCAGGATCTCTGGGGGTGCCGGACGATTTTGGGGCGCAGGCAACGAGGCTCTGCACGAGCTGACGACCGCGACCCCGACGGAGCTGCGCGTTGATCTGCGGACTGCCCGCGACTCCGCCTTCGCTCTCTATCGCGACTTCGCTGTCGGCAGCGCCCAGGAGCGATATCGGCTCCGAGTGGGAGCGTTCAGCGGCACCGCCGGTGCGCGGCGTTCGGACCTTGGGGAATTCTGTGGGTCCCGGTGGTGTTTGGGATCCCTGGCGGTGTTTGCGATCCCAGATCCGCTGCCTGGCAGGGGTCTGTGGAGTCCCTGGCGGATTTGGAGGTCCCTGGTGGGTTTTGGGGTCCCTGGGGTGTTTTGGGACTCCTTGGAGCGTTTTGGGGGCTATTGGGGTTCCTGCTGGGTTTTTTGGTGTTTCCTGGTGGGTTTGTGGGCGCTGACAGCGTTCCCTCGCAGGGGACGCCCTCTCCTACCACTCGGGGAGCCCCTTCTCGACAAAGGACCGGGACTCCCGGGACCCTCGGGACCGCCGGGACCCCTCGGGGCGCCCCCACCCCCCGCCCTGCGCCGTGGCCTACGGGGGAGCCTGGTGGTACCGAAACTGCCACTACGCCAACCTGAACGGGCGCTACGGGACCCCCCGAGACCACCAGGTACCACGGAGAAGGGGATCGGGGGGTGGGTGGGTGTGGAGGGGCTATGAGGGAATTTGGGGCGGTCTGAGGGGGCTTTGAAAGGGGCTGTTGGGTGTTTTTAGGGGGCTGTAGGAGGCTTGGGGGGCTATGGGAGTGGCTAGGGAGGTCTAGGGGGCCTTTGGGTGGACTATAGGGCTATGGGGGTGTATGAGGGAACCAATGTGAGGGTCTATGGGTGTCTCTGAGGGTCCACAGGGGTCTGTGGGGGTCTACAGGAGTCTATAGGGTCGATGTGATTCTACACAGCCTGTAGGGGTCTGTGGTCTCTGGGGTCTGTATGGAGATCTGCAAGGGTCCATGAGTAGCCATGGGAATCCATGAAGGTCTGGGGGGTCTATGGGGATCCATAGGATCTGTGGGGGTCTCTATGGTCTGTAGGAGTCCATGGGGATTTATGGGTGTCTCTGGAAGTGTACAAGGGTTCTGACCCCCCTTCTCCACAGGGCATCCACTGGTTCCCCTGGAAAGGCTTCAACGTCTCCATCCCCTTCACCGAGATGAAGCTGCGGCCGCAGCGGGGCTGAGGGGGCTGGGTCCCCTGAGTGCTGGACCTAGGGGATCCCGGAGTCTGAGGGGCCCCCTGGGTGCTGGGGGGGTCCCAGATGGGACTTGGGGAGGCTCAAAGATAAAACTTTTATTGGGGAGTACTAAAAGCTGATGGTGATTCCCCTGTCCTGTGGTGAACTGGGAACTGGGAAGGGAGAGAGCACAAAATCAGGATGAGGTCAAGGTCATCCCTGGGGCGAGAAGGGGCATGGCAGCTCCAAATGGTCCTTGTGGTTCTGGTCCCAGTGTTGCTTGAAGTGCTGGACCCAATCTCCCATGGAGATGCTGAGATGTCCCAACCTGGGCAACACGAACACGTGGGCAGGGATGGGGTTGGGATGGGATGAAGCATCCAGTAAAGCCAAAAACAGAGGTCATGGAGTCAGGCTGAACTGCCTGGAACACCTTGGGTGTCCTCCTGAGACTCAGATGGATTTGGGTCAGGGTTGTGCCATGGTCACATCATGGTTGTCTCCTGGTCACGTTGTGGTCATCTCATTGTCACAGGCATCTCATGGTTGTGTCATCTCTTGTCACCAATGATCCCATGGTCATCTCCTTATCACTACCACTATCGCTCATGTCGTGGTCATGGTCATCTCAGGTCACTGAGCTCCTGACCTGCAGTGGGAAGTCAATCCCTGACCTAGGTGTGGGGTCCAGTCCCCGATCTGGGGTGGGGGTTCTGTCCCTGGGCCACGGATCCCTTCCAGCACCTCAGGATTCCTGGGGTCCTTAATTCCATGATAAAGAGGCACGCCCTCAACTCCTGTGGCATCAGGAAAGGCTCCAGCAGTTGGGGCTCCACGAGCAGCTAAATCTCACTGGAGTGCGTGGCCCAGAATTGCTCCAGAGGAAGGGATGGGATCTGCACGAGGTGCTGGCACAGGTCACAGGTGGCCACAGCTGCATCTGTGCCCAACCCTTGTGGGGACCCAGTCCTGAGGGGTTCCTGCTCCAGGAGGGATCCTGAACTGGGCTCCAGCATGAGGGTCAAACCCTGCTCAGGGACAGCGCTGGGCCAAGGGCAGGACAGGGCCATCCCTGGGGGCTGCAGTGGGAGCTGTGTGCCAGTGCCAGCCCAGCCTGGAGCCACAGCCCTGCTGGCACAGAGCCCCTGGGAGCCCATGGCTGGCACAGCTGAGCACAGCGGGATGGGGCTGATCCAGCAGGACACGCTGGCCCTGGCTGGGACGCTGGGGCCGGCCAGGGGATCTTCCCCTGGGAACCTGCAGCACTTTGGGGCTGCAGGGCCGGCAATGGGCCGGAGCTGGGTCAGCCCGGCGCTGCCCCAAGGCCAGCCCTGGTGGCCCAGTGGCAGCGCTGCCCAGGGCTGCCCGGTGCCTGCAGAGCCTGGAGAGCCCAGGCACGCAGCTGTTGCCGTGGGCCAGCCCTGGTGTCCTCCCAGCTGCCCGTTTTCCCCGATGCCGGGCTCCTGGTGCCCCAGGCAGAGGGCTCAGTGCAGCCCCCGCTCAGCCAAGGGGTCTGACAGAAGTGTGACACCTGGAGATGTTGGGTTTGAGGCTGGAGTCAGCTCCAGGGGAACTCTGCATGGAAAGGCTGCGCTGGGAACTGAGGGACCCTGGAGATGGGGAGGATCTGCCTGTGGGAGCTGTTGGCTTCATGCTGGAGCTGTGGGCTCACCAGAGCAGCACGGCCAGTGCCCAGGGCTGGTCTCCTCAACACCAGCCAAGTCCAGAGCCTCGGCCCTTCCAGGGAAAGCTGCTCCATGCAGGAAGTTTTATGTTTGGAAGGGTCTGTGGGGGTCCTGCCTGGTGCTGTCAGCACCTCTGAAAGGATTCACTGCTCCCAGGAATAGAGGGTACCTTTATTAGCATGGTACCTCTGTTAGCAGGGACACACCCATATGGAAATGGGAATATTTTGGATGTAGAGGCTCGGGATCCCCTGTTTTGGCACCCTGTAGATGCACACAATTGTCACAAGAGATAGAAAACCACAAGGCCACACACTGTCACAGGGTCCATCTTGTGATCTGATGCTGGCTGGATGACAGGCAGCCAGCAAAGCTGATTTATTCCTGCTCTTCTCAGCTGAACAGGGAGAGAAAATACAAGGCAAGGTTCGTGCCTTGAGATAAGCACAGGGAGAAATCTCTCACTGATCACTGGGAGAACAGACTCAATTTGGGAAAATTAACTGAGGTTATAGCCAAAAAACCTCACAGCATATCAAGAAGTAAAATAAGACTCAGAAGCACCTTCCCCCCATCCCTCCCCCTTCCTGAGCTCCCATTCCCCTCCACAGGATGATCATTTGTCTCCCAGGATGCAAAAATGAAACAAAAAATAGTTTTATTAAAAACAAAAGAATGCTCAAATTCCTGCAGAAAATACAGCACCAAAAGAAAAACCCAGATTTAGAGACACAAAAGGACCCAAACTAACTGGAGGCCCTGGCCCCTTTCCCCCACCACAAATCAGCACCTCAGGAGCTGACAGGAGCCCAGCACAGCCACAGGGAGCTGTGTGTTGTCGCTGTTGGACACGAAATGATTCACACAGACACAGCTCAAGGTGTGATAGGAAAAAGAGCTCGATTTATTCTGTGGTTTCAGTATTTATAGATTCCTGACAACGACCAGGGATTGGATGGTTAGGTTACCACCTTCCCAACCACACTGCTCGTGAGAACTGTCCATCAAAAGACATTTCTTTAATGGAATGTATAAACATCTATGTTTATAGTCACTTTCCTGGAAAAGAGGCTAGCAACTACGAAAACAAGATCAGAAGGTTGAATTCTCAGGGCGACAGTGTGTCCCTGAGCACACGGCCAGCAACAGCTTCCCAGGGGCTGCACATCCATCTGCCCCTGAGCACCCAAAGCTCTGGCAGGCCCCAGCACCTCGACAGCACACAGCTCAACCCAAAACCTCACCTCTTGCACCCCAGGTTCCGACCTGCAGCCCTGGGGACGCTCCAAAATGCTCCATCACAACTCTGGGCTGGCCACAAGGTCCCAGGCTCAAGCGGAGCAACCTGGGAGAAGCACAAAACATTCCAGCTTTAGTGCCAGGCTGAGCAGAGGAGCCACTTTCCTCCTGCACACTCCCAGCTGCAGCTGCAGCAGCCCAGCTGCACCCGCACAACCTGCACAGCTCTGACAGCACCCGGGGGCTCAGGGACACCCCAAGCAGGCAACATTGCCACATGCACCTGGCCACCAACTCCCACAGCGTGCAATTCGGGCCACGCCACAGCCCCTCCTGCCCACAAACCCCACGCCTCAGCCCACAGCTGCACCTGCCCCACCTGGCAATGGGCCACAGCCCACCCTGGGCCCCCTCTCCTCAAGCTGCCTCACACTCTGCCACGGCCACTCCATCCCACAGCCGCCAAAAGCTCCACTGCCACGGCCAGCGGGGCCTTCCCGGGCCTCAGAGTAATTCTAGAGCTAAAGCGTTGAGAGACATCAGCTCCGCTCAGATAATACATGCCAGCGCTCATCCCGGGCCCGGGAACTGCCGCCTCCTCCTCCTCCTCCT